CACGATCATCATTCACAAATCGCATTTTCGTAACTTAATCCTCTATGACATCGTGTGATCTAAACATGATATCTAGAGCTATATACATGCTATCAAGTTGATCTTAATTTTATTAAAAAGCTAAGACGATTATTTATAACTTCTATATTTATTTAAAGAGTTAATTATGTCATCTACCATTTTTTAAAATTACAAAATCATAACATTTTATCCTAAATTTGACAGTTTGAACTCCACTCACTAATTTGATCATTACTTGAGTTATATATCTCCTTTTTAGGTGATTCCAATGGCATATGAAATCTAACATATAGGCATACAACTTTATTGAAGACCAAAAAAGAAAATTCGGCCATATACTCACTTAAGAGAGACAGTCATTCGCTTAAGCAAGGTTAGCTCGCTTGGAGAACAAGTTGTTATTCGAAACTCTTTTGTCAAGACTTGCTTGAGTGATCCTAATGTCACTTGAAGTGAGCTAAATTCACTTAGAGCGAGTCTAAGGTGGCTTGATGCAAGCTACAACAATCTAAAACTCGATATTATACTATTCGTAGGTTTCTAACCTTCACTACACCATTTCTTAACACCTTCATTCCAAATCAAATTGATAAGATGTCAAATTAAAGCCTATTGCTAAAAAATTAAGTCATCAATTACTCAAATCCACATGGTTATAATGATTTCCTCATACAATGCCAAAATATAGTTCATTTATGGTTTTCACAAGAACATATGAGTAATCCAAAATTCACAAGAATAGTTTATTTAGTGAAATTAAGAATACATACATATCAATAACATCAATTAGATACTGAAGAACCATATGGAAAGCAAAAACACGAGTTAAGTCACAATTTGGAATTTGGAATTTGTCCCTCATATGATGCATACAACATAGAAAAGATTGGTGTTACTCTCACTACCCAACATATACGCCATGTCTAGAGTAGGGCTACTCACTCCCCTTAACCTCCACTCTCAATGCCCCACCAAGAAAACCATGATTTTAAGGGGTAAAAACATTTATAGTAGTCAAGGGACATCTTTCTCTTCTTCTAGTGAGAGTGAGGAAGAACATGGGTAGATTCCAACAAGGAAGAAGCTTATCCTGATGGTGACCTCTTGATGGTCAAGAGGCTCCTTGGAAACCAACCAATTAAATATCATCTATCAGTAAGAGAAAACATCTTTCATACTATAAGTGAAGCTTTTTAAAATACTTGTTCTCTCATTGTAGATAGTGGATCTTGTTATAATTGTTGTAGCACAAGGTTGGTAGATAAGTTGAATCTCACCACGATTCCACATCCCAAACCTTATAGACTTTATTGGCTTAATGAAGTCGAGGTTATAATGGTTGATCAACAAGTAAAAATTATGTTTTCCATATGCAATTATGAAGATGAAGTTTTATGTGTCATAGTACCAATGGAAATTTGTCATATCTTATTAGGTATGCCTTGGCAATTTAATAAAAAGTCAATGCACAATGGTCTAACTAATGAGATAACTTTCACCCTCATGGAAAACAAATTTGTACTTCATCTTTTATCACCTACTCAAGTGATAAGGGATCAAGTACTAATGAAAAAAAAAATAGAAGAAGAAAAACAAAAAGAAAAGAAAGAAAAAAATCCCTTAAAGATAAAAAAAAGGAATAGAGAAGGTAAGGGATGAAAGTGTCCCCTCCTTAAAGATTATTCAAAAAAAGAGTATTTTTGGCTACAAAAAGTGAAATTAAAAGAAATTTTCTCCTTCAACAACCTCTATACCTTCTCTTGTGGAGATGGACATTTGCTTACACTGTCATTTCACTTGAAAATGAAACTCTACCAAAAGGGGTCAAGGAAATTTAAAAGAATTTGATAATGTATTTCCTAAAGAGGGTTTTAAGGGATTGCCTCCCTTTAAAGGAATAGAGCATCAAATTGATCTAGTGCCTGGAGCTAGCCTACTTAATAGGCTTGTTTATAGGACAAATCCCCAAGAAACTAAAGAGATAGAGTATCAAGTTCCAGAGTTGTTCAATAAAGGTTGGACTCAAAAGAGTCTTGATCCTTGTGCAATTCTTGTGCTTTTGGTGCCTAAGAAAGATGAGAAATGGAAGATGTGATTACTAACATCACTATTAAATGTAGGCATCCAATTCTTAGGCTTGATGACATGCTGGATGAATTGCATGGTTCCACCATATTCTCCAAGATTAATCCTTAGAGTGGATATCACCAAATTATAACCAAAGAAGGTGATGAGTGGAAAACTGTTTTTAAGACCAAATTTGAACTTTTTGAGTGACTAGTAATGCCTTTTGGGATTACAAATCACCAAGCACATTCATAAGATTAATCAATCATGTCCTAAGGAATTGCATAAGAAAATTTGTTGTGGTTTATTTTGATGTCATTTTCATTTTAGTAGGAGTCTAAGTGATCATCTAGGTCACTTAAGATAAGTTTTATGAGTTCTTAGGAAAAATAATCTCTTTGCTAATATAGAAAAATGTACCGTTTGTGTTGATAATGTAGTGTTTATAGGTTTTGCATTTAGTGCAAAACCATGAAAAAATCAAGGTCATCTAGGAGTGACCCACCCCTAAAAGTGTATGAGACATTAAAAGCTTCCATTGGTTGGATAACTTCTATAGAAGACTTGTTCCTAACTTCTCCACACTTGTTTCACCACTCAATGAGTTGGTGAAGAAGGAGGTTCCTTTCCTTTGGGGTGAGAAATAGGAAATAACCTTTTAAACCTGAAAGGATAAGCTCACCCATGCACCTGTTCTATCTTTACTTCATTTTTTAAAAGCATTTGAGTTAAAATGTGATGCTTTTGGGATAGATGTGAAAGTTCTTTTGTTGCAAGGTCACCCAATTGCATATTTTAGTGAAAAAATTCATGGTTCCTTCCTCAAATAATCCACCTATGATAAAAAGCTCCATGCTTTAGTGAGAGCCCTTCAAACTTGGGACCATTATTTTGTTTTCAAGGAGTTTGTCATTCATAGTGATTATGAGTCACTTAAGTACTTAAAGGGTTAAGGTAAGCTCAATAAAAGACATGCAAAATGGGTAGAATTCTTATAACAATTTCCTTATGTGATTAAATACATGAAGAGAAAGACTAATGTGGTGGTTGATGCCTTATCTAGAGGCATACATTGCTTGTTTCTCTTGGTTCTCAAATTTTAGGATTTGATGACATAAAGGAATTGTATGAGAAAGATATTGAGTTTTGATCCATCTTTGATGGGTGTAGCCATAAAGCCCAAAATGGTTTATATACTTCTAAGGTGTATTTGTTTAAAGAAGGAAAATTATGCACACCCAAAGATCTATTAGAAAACTATTAACAAAAAAGAGCCATGAAAGTGGACTCATGGGGCATTTTGGAATAGATAAAACTCTTTCAATGCTTAAAGAAAAATATTTTGGCCCCATATGAGAAAAGATGTCCAAAGACATTATTATAAATGTGTAGTTTGTTTACAAGCTAAGTCTAAAATAATGTCTCATAGAACATACACACCTTTACCTATATCCAATTCTCCTTAGGTTGACATTAGTATGAACTTTGTCATTGGCCTTCCTAGGATCCAAAGAGGATGGATTCCATATTTGTGGTATTGGACCTGTTACAATTTTTATAAGATAGGATAGTATTGAAAACAAGTAAAGGAACAAAGAGTAACTTGACCCTAACCGCAACCCGTTGGTAGAACCAAAGTTATCAAAGAGAAGAGTGACCCTAACCACGATTTGTCAGTAAAATCAACACTAACAAGTTCTTATCCAATAATAAAGGAAAAAACTCTCATAAAGAGAAACTCAAAATATGTTTAATATTCAAATATACCTTGGATGATTACAAGAGGTTATGTTTATAGACTAAAACATGCAACCCCTCATTGACATGTAGTAATTTTCCACTAAGCAATAAATTTCTATTGACATTTATTTTCCACTAGAAAATTTAAAATCACTCAAAACTGACCTAGGAAATATGAGAAACTATATGAACTTGTTTAATTAAAATAAAACATGAAAATTTAATTGAAATTAAGAAATAAACTTAAGTAATTTTTAAGCCCAAAAACTAAGTAAACCATCTAAATAAGGTACAACCCACTATAATATCTTTAGTAATTGGTGTTGGGCTCATATTACTCCAAGTCAAACACACTTAACTGTGCAGTTCTGATGAGATAAGCTATCGAAAAATAGATGCATGTTGTTAGTATAGGTAGTACAAATTAATTTATTTAAGTCATCATCAATTATACAATCTTATACTTATACTATCTTTGAATCCCTCTCATTTCGATGTATCCGGACTATTATAAAAAAATATAATAATATATATGTATTATCCGTACCGCTAAGCCGAGCTCAAGCTCAGCATCACAACGCAGATTGACATCGGACACGTGCTGTGCAACATCGACCAGGACAAGGCCCACTATCTAAACAGATTATAACCGATCTCAGGCCCAAGGCCTAGTAAAACCCTAATTTACACAAAGGTACGTGCATTACTTATACGAGACCCATACACCCACAAACGCTAACTTTAGCATCGGAGTCTCTTTTGCAGGTACTACCCCCACTCTGAAACAGCAAGCGTACCCGGCGAAGGAGGCTCACCAATCTTGCCCAGCAGATCGTCCCTACGACTAATCTCCAGTAAGAACAATATATAATAATTATATTACCAATAATAATAATTATATTATATTTAATTAATCTTTATTTATATATATATACTTACTTTTATAATTAACAATCTACTTATTTCTATTTAAAATTAATATTATGATGCAATTTAAATTATTTTGGGTTTTAATTTAGTCTCTATTTGGATAAATATCTTCGCCAATACTTATAGAAAAAGAAAATAAGAGAGAGAAAATGAAATAAGATTTTTCAAAGAACAATCATTCAGAGTTATTTTTCTGCATTTGTTTTACTTTAATTATGGCTTCTCATAGCATCATATATTCGTCAATTAAGTTGCCTTCATAAACATGAGTTGTTCCAATTCTGGAGAAAGAGAACAAAATTGTCTACACCTTCTATTGACTCGTTGAGCAATATGGCTATTTTGCAACCTATACTTAATAAAAAGATGAAGACAAGACTCACCTTTTTATGAAGCTCTGAAATAGATTCATACATGAGTTGGTTCTGCAAATCATATAATTAAATAGTCAGAAAGACATTGAATTCAAACTAATTAATCGCAAAACTCTTTACTGCATGGTTTTATTACCTTCCGTGATCTAATGTGTTTGAGAGCACTATCAAGCTGATGCTCCAAATTCTGAAGCTCTTTGATGCTTAGGCCATCCAAATCTTGTCCCATAAAATTTCTGCAACATAATTTGGAAAACCCTACTGTTTTATATTATATTAATTACACAAAAGCCCTTGTTGGAACTAATTTAATACCTTTGATTTTTCTGTAGGACTTCCAACCTTGCTTTGAGCTTTGCATGTTCTAGAGTCCAATTTTCCTAACATCGTACGTAATAAAATTAGTGTTCTCTGATTCTTCTAATTTTTTATAGGAACAGCAAGTTGCAACGGATATATCTACTTTATCTCTTAATTGATAAAATAGAAGAAAATAATTGGGCTTTTTTCATTTCAAAACTTCTCTTTGAACAAAATTGACGTACAAATATACAAATGAATAAAGCAGCTGGCTTAGCTAATCAAATGGGTAAAATGATTGTAGGTGGGTTTTTTTTTTTTCTTTTGCAGTAGTGTAAAAAATTTTAATGAGTTGACTTTTAGAAACTTATCAAACATCATAGATAAGATTTAATTTCATTCTTTGCTTTCTCTCTAAACATGTAGGTGGAGTTTAGAGAAAAAGGAAAAGATGATATCCAATTATTATCGAATAATAATTTGTTATAAGAGATTATTATCAATTAATAAATATATCAATAAAATGAGTTCATGATTTATTATAAGAGATAAAAACCTACAGTTTGTGGTTCACTTGCAACAAGTTGCCTCTCCGCATATGAATACCTCTCATACCGTTCAAGAATTCGTTCCATACTGTTGACAAAGGAAAGGAAAAGTGAGCAATGATAGTGTATATTGATAACAAAACCTGGATACAGAACTTCAGTTCAAAGAATATTACATGAAGATATATTCTTTGTGTTAATTAATCAGGAGTATCCATCAACTATTTCACATTTCTTTTCCGTTTTAACCACTGATGGATTTGGTAACACAACTTTTTTATTTTTTTAATCAGACAAAACAAAATAACATTATGAGATAGGACAATGAGTTCTTCGATCCTTACGTACAAGGTCTTTATTATATGAAGTAACTTATAAAAAAAATCTGCTTTATGCATTGAATTGAGTAAAGGACAAGAACACCAATCCACATTTTTCAGAAGAAATCTATAACAAAGATCTAACTTTTCTAGCTATGACCCAAAATACTAACCAAGTTAGTAGAACCATGACTAATAGAAAACCAATAAATCATCACCCATACCTTTTTCATCATCTTTCCTCTCAACTTTACTATTCTGAGTTCATGAATCTTGGTTGATCATGATGGAAAAACAATACTTTTAAATGCACTAACCCCATTGACACGTTATAACTTCGTATATATATATATATATATATATATATATATCAGTGTTTCACACAAAGTCGTCCAATCCAAACTTTGTATATTTTTCTCTCTCACTTACATTATTCTTACAAGGGCTTGAGTGGTAAAAAAACTCGCACTAAAAGAGGGAGAAACAAAGTTGAAATTTAGGATAAACACTTGATGGGAGAAGACCCTTGGTTAAGATTGTATCTCATAAGATTACTGCCAAAGCAAATATATTCAAGCATCATGATTAAGAAAAGCAATAGGCATGCATTATAAACCTATTTAGATATAAATTAGAAATATTTTTTTATAGAATTTTTATATTAAAAAATACAGAATATTTGTTAATAAAAAAAACTTAAAAACGCTTTTAAATTTTTTTATCTAAATAGACTCTATCTAACATTATTATTAGTTATAATTTATCAAAAATTACTAAATTATGTATGTAGTATATTAAATAAAAAGTGAAACTTACAATTTTTCATAATTTCTAATATATTTAACCGAGTAGTGAAAGAGAGGTACTAACATTTCTTAGTCCATATCTATGACACTACAGGAGTACCTCGCTTCGAGATTGTTGATTTTTACTTGCAAGGTATCAAAACTAATGTTTCGGATCCAAACACGAGATATATAATTAAGCCAATTAGATTTAAGCTTCAGCTTGGTCCCTCGTGTTCGTCCAAGAATTGAAAAAGACACACGTGTTTCCTTTCGACTGTACACGTACTGTTATGTTTAAGTACGTTAATTGTCTCGATTGAAAGCTTTCAGTCTAAGTTCAAATTCAAGTAGTGGTATTATATTACCAAAATAAATGGAAGAGTTATTGTATTTGCGAATAATATTTTCAATACGAATATTATTGACTGACTTCGACATAAAAAACCATAAAAAAACTTGTAAGATTTTATAGCACAAAAAGTACGTAAAATGACATCATGCACCACATAATGTAAAACTTTTACATGTGTGCATTTTAAATCTATTTTATTCTGTGTTTGAGGGGAAAAAAATAAACAAAAATTCCTCCATCAGTATTAATGGAAGTCCAAGCCAATGTTTTCAGTATTAATACTCTGTGTTCTGTATATATTAATTTGATAGCTAGATTATAAACGAAGTATAAAGGTTGTTAAACAGTTAAACTTATACACTAATGGAAATTCAATATCAAATTAAAGAAAATAACATAGGCCTATAACAACAATTTCTTTTATTCTAATTAATCCACCATATGCCAACTCACGAGTTACCTCCCTTAATCTGTGCATTCTCAGAAAGTGTACCTAGTACCTACACTCCACCTGTTGATTTATCCTAGACCAAATGCCAGTAAAAATATATGGTAGGTCAAACAAAGCAGGTTATATAACTAACACAAAATATATAATAAATTGGACAATAATATGGTACGGGCAACTGCATTGTAAATTTGTAATCTGAGGTAAAAAGTGGTGCATATACTCGAGTGCGAGAGTGACATTGATTTTTGGTGGGTTTTGGGAGCACTATAACAGCTTTATTGTATAGTGTATACTCAAGTGTGCTATTTCTAAATTGAATTGATTAGCTTCTAAATATGATAGTCAAGTGTGGTATGCTTCTATAGTGAATTAAGCACAACATATAACAGCTTCAATTTTCATACATAAATTCATGACCCTGTAACTATATGTTGTCACAGTGATTGGTCACTTTTCTGGTTCCTCCTTTCTCATTTATGTGTCTGTGGCTGAGTTTGTCAGATCAGGCTGCTGCTTTCAAATAGCGAATCACGTACGCTTTATATGTCCATGCGGAGAGAGTGATATATACAAGTTTCAAACCCACCCTCAGACACTAATAAACTCATGCAACTCTTTCTCTCTCCCTTTTGATATGTTATGCTAATTAAAATAGTAAAGTATAAGCCACTGCATGATGATGACTCTCTTTTCAAGTACAGGAAAACCAATGATTATACGCGACAATTATATAATGAAGATTACTATAGCTAGGCCCAAATATTCATAATGAAAAGTTGATATTAAGTCTCCGATTCCATCAAAGTCACTAAACTACTATACCCAAAGGGGAATTCGAAACTAGAATCTTAATTTCATATAGTCAGGTGATTAATAATCAAAATTATTAGTAATATAATACGGATGAATTTTAAGATAATTTTCATGAAAATTAACACGTATTACAATTTAGTTTAAATGACAGACTATTTACACTAGAAACTAATTGAAATTAGGAGATATTAATTAAACCTTACGAAGTATCATACCATAAAGGGGTAAGAAAATCATGAAGAGGTATAGATATTATAGTAGACATAATTGACAAGATCCATAAGCAAATAAATTGAACATGATATGAGGAGAAGAAAAGGGTAAAAATATATATAATTTATCAGAACACATATAGTAGGGATTAGAATAAAGAGGGTTGAATATATATGTAAGGGTATGGTAATTGAATTATGTAATTACCAGGGATCACTAGAGTACTCAAAGAGTTTTCCTTTGGTGGAGAAGACTATGAGAGCCACTTCAGCATCACAAAGCACAGAGATCTCGTGTGCTTTCTTGAGCAAACCAGACCTTCTCTTTGAGAACGTAACTTGCCTATTGATCTTGTTCTCGATCCTCTTCAACTGCACCCTTCCTCTCCCCATGTTTGATCTCTATCACTCTAGTCTCTACTCTATCCTATGATCTAGACACTCACTTTTCAGTTTGATCTATGATCTATCCTCTCTTACCACTGCCAACAACACAATTCCAACACGAGTTTCAATCATTAATAGTAGATGAGAGAGTGGTACCCTTCAATTTCCCTCTATGGACATAGTTTTCTCTATGCTTCTTTCTTCCTGTGTATGGAATTCTAGGCCATCAACAACTTTATTTATGTACGTGATGAGAGAGTGAGGGAGATGAACGTGACCTTAAGTCTCCTCCCTCTATTCATTTTTTTTTTCTAAAGTGGACATTAAAACATAAAAACAAAACATAAAGACCGAAAATCATTGGTTATTATTATTATATTCCACCAAAAGAAAAGGAAAAGTGAAAGCGGAAAAAATGGACGGGGAAGGTGGTTTTGCGAAACCAGAGTGGTTTCGTCAAAAACGTTGTCGAGTTTCGATTGGACAAAGCGACTAAAAGGACAATCCGTTGTTGCCTCTCGTCATTGTTATTTTCACGTACGAATTTTCTCGTTGCGTGATTACTTCTTTGGTTTAATTTTTCAAGTTTTTTCCTTTGCTTTTGTCTTTGTTAAGCATATATCCTCTTTTTCTTTTTCATTTTTTTTTATCTAATTAAGCATATATCCTTAATCTTCCTTACAATTTACCACGGGGAAGAATAGTTTTCTTATTTTATTTTCTTTTAAGAAGTTAATTTTAATACGTTGAAAATGTAAAGAATCTCTAAATTGATTTTTTTATTACAAATTGTTATTTTATTGATTCTTATAATAATTATTTTAAAAATTATGTTTATCATAAATTAACAAGGTTCAAACATACTATTATACTAACCTCAATGGTTCTTATCATAGATTCTTGTTGAATCTTAGTATAATTGTTTTTAATATTAACTGTACATATACAAATTGAAATCTTACTTATAATTAAAAAAATGATTTTATTCGTCCTAAAGTAGGTAACTTTAAATAAATTTTAATAAATGTTAGCTTTTAGTAAAATGTGTAGTTCTTTATTATGAATTTAATTTTGATATATTATTGATTGTATACCAGAATTTACGCTTGCAGTTAATTATTTAATTAAAATATATTAATAGTGTAGTTTTTATTTTATATTATCATTCTTTACAAATCGAAAATTCGTTATATATGATTATTTTATTCTACCTTTTATAATAACAACATTAAAAATCGTCCAAAAATAATTATGATAATAGTTGACAACGTAAAAAGTATTATAACTAATGACGACATATAATAATTAAACTCATGTATCTATTACTTGATAAATTTACCGTAATATTTAATAATAAGGTTATTCAAAATTAAGTTTAATTAAAGCTTGTCTAGTTTTAGTATAAATACTGAATGATTTTGATGTCTAATTTTTTTAGTTAATAAAGTTTACATTTAAAATCTAGTAAATCTTACCTCTTTCTTCTATCTAAAACTTCCAAACTCCCTTTTCATTATCTATCACGATATTCGATATTTAACATGAATTTCGAAAACAAAAAATTATCATCATGTTATATGCAAAATATCCGCAACTTATATATTCGGCTTACCATCTTTAATAGTCTTATAATTCTTTTCTGGCTACAATTTGTTTCATGAACAAGACATAAACCCAAAGACTTTGTTTAAGAAATTTGAAATCATGGCTTTCACTCAAATCAACAACATACTAGTGAATATAAATATAATTTTAAAATATAAAAAATCAATAAAATTAATAAAAAAATCTAGAAATTAAGATTTAAAGGAGGAAATTGAGATTTTATTAATTTTTGCCTCAAGCAGAATGACTACATTCCAACTAGTTCGGTATTATTTTTTTTTCTTCTTTTTCAAACAGTCGTTTAACTCCCAGATCCAAAAACAACTTGGAGATCTTTATATAATATTTACATGAATAAACTGTATCATCCCTTTCACACACTCTTCCTATGGATATCTACACACAGTTTGAGCATCATCTTCCAAGCAAAATCTCAAGGTCGCAAGCAAAAACATCTCTTTCTTTGGGAGTTATAATAAACTCATCAATGAACTTCTCCATTTCCTTTTGAGCTTCGGGGTTTCAGTTAGCAAACTTGCCAACCCCAACTCGGAGACCTCTACCATTTTTCATCAGCTAATTAAGTAGTCAACCCATACAGTGATACAGATGATTATATAACCTTAGATGGCTTTTCACACCCTTGTGTCCCATATTATATGGAGGAGAATATATTTTATGAACTATCTAGTCATCCTCGATGATTTTGTGGATTCATTACTAGTTGACTGTACATGACGCTCCCTTTGCAAAATTGAATTCCTCTTATTCCAAAGATCATTCCATGTCATTACTTACCATGACTAGCTTTAGAGAACATTATTGATAATTTAGTCCAGTCAAATTAGTGAACTTCTCGCTCGATCATCCAATACTTCCGTTGTTCATCAGGGGTTTACATACACGTCTGTATATTGGTATGATATTGTTTATTTTGAGTTTAAACTTTCATAGATTTATTTTCTATCATCACCCAAAAGGCATAATATATACCAATGGAGATATTCACATGCTTATAGACTGATGTTTCTCTTATTTTAATAATGTGAGACTTGTATTGTATCCCAACAATTCTCCTCTCAAACAAAGGATCATGGTTTAACCTTTCTTACAAAGAAATTATCATTTCAATCCAAAAGAAGCTATCTTTTCAGTCCACAAGCATTCAATGGTGACATATAGATGCTTAGTCCTGATTAATTAGGTACTTAGTTACATCGTCACTCCACTATTAACTCATGATAGCAAGACACGCCTCCTAACCTCCATGCTAATAGAAAAACTCTCCACACACAGACCTATCATCAATAAGACTTTCGATACAAGTCCAAATCTACCTATTAATTTCATTATACTCATCTAAGTCAACCACCTAGTCAAACTATCAGCTTTGATACCACTAGTTAATAATAGTAACCAAATTCTTAGGGAGGAGAATAAACACTCAACACACAAACAACAATTTAACAAGGTTTAATAATATGCTTACGCTCTTATAACCAGAGCAATTGTGAATATATTATTCATTAGAAATAAGATTACATTAAACATATATGAAGTATGAGTGTACAACCCTACACCCCAAACTTAATTAGTTTGTAACCCAACAAATAGACAGTCTAAGCCCAATTTGCTCTACTCTAGAATTTGTTTGCCCCTTCTAAATATGAGTCATGCACAACAATCTCCACCTTGGTGAATATCAAGTCCATTAAGAGATAACAATAACAAGAATCTTTCGTATGCCTTTTGAGTTGAGGTTTACATTTATCTTTAGAAATAAGAAATGTTTTACAAGTCCAAGCAATGCTTAAACTTGTCAATGGTTACTAACTTGGTTAACATATTAGTTGCATTCTTAGAAGTATGAACCTTTTTAAGAAATATATGACTAGATGTCATCAGCTCCCTGATTTTGTGGAACCTCAAATCAATAAGAAACGTTTTGGATATCACAATGCAACTGAACTCCACCTTATTCAATGACCAAACTCTCTTACTAGCCCAATAAACCATAAGGCCTCTTTAATACCCTATGCTATTTCCATGTATTTTGTTTTAGTTGTTGCCATTGCCACAATTGACTAAAAACTATTGATTTCCTACAAAAGTAAAAATAAACATTGTCATAATAAACCCACAACTGAAGGATCACCTAGTTGACTACCAAACATAATACCATGACTTATTCTACTTGTTAGGTCCTTGTAGATCCACTTAACTACTTCCCAACTTACTTATTAGATAGCTTGGAAATAAACTTAAACTTGAATTATAGCATGTGACAAATCCGATCTAGTCCAAACCATAACATACATCAAGCAACCAACTACACTCATATAGAACCTTTGAAATGTACTCCATTTCTACATTTGTCTTTGTCTCTTTAGGTAGGTATTGTTCCTTAGAAAGTTTGAAGTAATTTTCTAATGGTGTATTGATTGATTTAGCATTGTTCATGCTAAATTCGTGTAGAATAACCTTCTCAACATAGCCTTGTTGTGATGAGATCCATAGTATCTTAGAACTCTTATACATGTGAATATCTATCAAAATCATCTTTTTGGTAACACTTGAGTCCTTCAAGCCAAACTCCTTACCCAACATGGATTTAACTTATTAACATTAATGGTTAGCAACAATCATATCATCAACATCAAGTAGTAGAAAAATAAAAGAACCATCATCAAGGCTCTTCACATAAACACAACAATCATACTCATAATTCATATAGCCAATTTGAAGCATATAGGAATCAAACCCTTTATGCCAAGCCATATAGAGACCACTTCCATTTACAAATCAATCAACCCTCACTACAAGAAAAACACAAATTTTTGACAGACATAATTCATCGGTAAAAAGGAATACCCGTCGATTTTTTTTTTATATTTTCAACGGATGCAAATCCGTCAGAAAAATGGGCGTAAAAAAAATCTATTGGAAACAATTTAATCCGTGAGATATATCTGTCAGTAATTATCCATCGGAATTTACTGACGGATATATCCATCAAAAATATTTTGTTTAATTTTAATAAATTTATTAATATAACAACCCTCATATTTGGTATTTCAAGGATTCTATTTCACGATACTTCACTTTTCAGTGTGTTTTGTCCTTACTTGCACAATTTTTGGGAAATTTCCCAAAAGGTCACCCATTTTCCTATATTACTCCAAGTCAAACACACTTAACTGTGCAGTTCTGATGAGATAAGCTATCGAAAAATAGATGCATGTTGTTAGTATAGGTAGTACAAATTAATTTATTTAAGTCATCATCAATTATACAATCTTATACTTATACTATCTTTGAATCCCTCTCATTTTATTTCCGACCCGGACAATTTTAGGGGTCTACAAGCTCTTCATATTAATATTTTTAATTCCTTTTGATCTTTTTCTAGTCATTGGGCCTTCCATCGATTGAGAAAGGTATTTGAAAATAATTGATCTTGGTAGATTCCTATCATTCCCTCTCTCTTCAATGTGATTCATCCTCAAATCAAGTTTGTCATCTTGCTTTGCATATTGATCCACCATCTCATGGAATTTCTTTTCCTATAGACCCTTTATGAGCAATTCTTCTTTAGTAATCAAGATAGTATAATTTATAGGATTAGGTTAAAAAGAAGAAATAAATCCACAATTAGTTCCTTTAAATGTTTGAGAAATTTGCATCTCTGAAATTTCAAATTCATTTTCATTTGATG